GTAGATGAGTTATTTGGCATCAAGGAAAAACCTTATATGTTTACATCTCCATAAGTTTTTTTTTTTGGGTAATTTAGTAGGGAAGACAAGCCCTTACCTGTTTTTTCATATGGATTAAGGAATTAGCTTTTTTTGAAGGTGTCAGTAGGTGGTGTCAGCAGGATTGGAAACGACAACGTGGTAACAAGGTACGAGAGTGCTAACCCACTCTCCTACGTCTCCATAAGTTAACATTGGGATGTTAAAATTTAAAAATGCAGTGTATAATTTGTGTAGTGTTTTGATTTTCAAATGCTGTCATGTTATTGAAGTTGTTATCCTTTTAAAGTGTGGGAATTGAACTTGAGATATAGCGTTGTCGATGTCAACAATTAACTACTCAAGGCCAAGCCCCGATTCTTACATTGATCAGCGATTATATATCTCTTCCATAATAGAGATGAAATCCCTCCTTACGAATGATTTTCTATTTATTCTAAAATTGAGATTGTGGTTTATATTTCTAGGCAGACGACAAAAAAAATATAAATGGATCAAACTTGAATCGAAGTTTTCTTACCTTTTATTTTGGGATTTTGACATTAAAAAACAGAGACACCAAAGCCTCAAGAGATATACAAATTGCCTCCGGCTTCACTTCTATTTGACAACACTTCCATTTGACAAGGTATAAACCATCCAAAAATCTGAAATACTAGATCAAAGCCATGAGCAAGCTAATTCGGATTTGTTTCCAAATAGATACTCTAAGATAGAATGAGAAAAAAGGAATTTAATTAATACTGCCTATGAAAGTATAGAATGATTAGAAAATTACAAAAACGAAAGCATTCATTTTGAACAACAAAGAACGAGGTCTGATGGCGAATTTTCCAACAAGCCTTGCGAGGAGTTTCCTCAATTTTGAACATAGAATCAAAGGAGGGCATCAGAGACATACCAAAAAAAAGGAAGATATAATTCAGGCGAGGAGTGGAAGGAGACGAATCCAATGTTCAAGAGCTTGTTGAAGTACAGGTTCATGTCTGAAAGGGGAGTAAGGAACATATGCTTAGACCAATTCTCATCCTCGCATTCCATGGAGAGTATCAAACAATCATGCATACGCTCGATCCCCCTTTCATAATTCTTATAAACATGAAATTCATCATAGGTGGCCTGCTAATCATCAACAGCAAGTAGTCTGTCGTTACAACCGTCGATGAACATGTGAAGTTTGCTCTGGTTCCAGGAGTTGCCAGAGCTGCACATAATTAATTGTGCTTATTATGTTGTCAACCACAAACTTTAGGGCTACTCGACTCCAACCAGGTTGACCATGCGTCCGAACCTATCGTGTCCATGCAAGAGTCGTAGTAGTTGGTGCAGTTGCATGCGTCCTTGAGAATAAAGAGCCAAATCTTCTATTATTTTCTCACTTTTTATATTTTTTTGTAAATTTAAATTAATTATTTTAATTTTCATGAGACCAATTCCTTGGTCCCACCTTAGAGAATCGGTCCAAATTGGCATGGATCGGCAATCTAGATTGGTCTAGCAGATGGCCAATTTGG